GCGAAAACGCTGACATGGAGTATTGCAAGTACCGAATTAGTAGGGTACCGAAAGCCATTCAGGGTAGAGTATCTGGGACGAGAAGCCCAATTCTGTGGCCACCCTCACATAGCTTCGGGCAATCTCGAGGGCTCTTTGGCGCTTTTTATTCTTTAGTCGTTCTGCTTTTCGTGTGCTATGTTCTTTAATCTCGGGATCTCGCAAAAGCAACCACCAGTCGTAAATTCCAAACCCTAAACTTCCTTAAGCCCTGAATCATATAATCCCTAAGCCCTAAACACCCAAACCCTAAACCTCGATATGCCCGAAACACTAAAGCCAATACACTCCCAACACTAAGTCCCAAACCCTCAGCCCTAAACCCCAAAACCGACCGCAAAACCCTAGACCCTAAACCCTAAACCCTAAACCCTATATATATATATATATATACGCAAGACCCTGAGTTTAAGGTGCAGATGGGTCTTTCTGCGCGGCTGGGCCTGGGAGGGATGCAGGCCATGTCTTTGCTCCCGAGCGTTACCTGGGGCTTAGGGTTTAGGGTTTAGAGTTTAGGGTTTGGGGTTTCGGGTTTATGGTTTAGGGCTTAGGGTTCAGGGTTCAGGGTTTAGGGTTTAGGGTTTGAAGGGTTCAGGTTTAGGTTTTAAGTTTAAGGTTCAGGTTTCAGGTTAAGGGTTTAGGGTTTAAGTTTAAGGTTCAGGGTTCAGGTTTAGGGTTTAGGGTTTGAAGGGTTCAGGTTTAGGGTTTAAGGTTCAGGTTTCAGGTTTAGGGCTTACGGTTTAAGTTTAAGGTTCAAGTTTCGGGTTTAGGGTTTAGGGTTTAGGGTTTGAAGGGTTCAGGTTTAGGGTTTAAGGTTCAGGTTTCAGGTTTAGGGCTTACGGTTTAAGTTTAAGGTTCAGGTTTCAGGTTTAGGGTTTAGGGTTTAAGGTTCAGGTTTAGGGTTTCAGGTTCAGGTTTCAGGTTTAGGGCTTAGGGTTTAAGTTTAAGGTTCAGGTTTCAGGTTTCAGGTTTAGGGCTTAGGGCTTAAGGTTCAGGGTTCAGGTTTAGGGCTTTGGGTTTAAGTTTAAAGTTCAGGTTTAGGGTTTGAAGGGTTCAGGGTTCGGGTTTAGGGTTTAAGGTTCAGGTTTCAGGTTTAGGGTTTAGGGTTGAGGGTTTGAAGGGTTCAGGGTTCAGGTTTAGGTTTAAAGTACAAGGTTCAGGGTTGAGGTTTAGGGTTTAGGGCTTAGGGTTTAAGTTGAAGGATCAGGGTTCAAGTTTAGGGTTTAGGGTTTAGGGTTCGGGTTTAGGGTTTAAGGTTCAGGGTTCAGGTTTATAGGGCTTAAGGTTCAGGGTTCAGGTTTAGGGTTCAGGGTTCAAGGGTTGGGGTTATTAGGGTATATAGTGTAGCAAGGTATAGTGTAGTATAGTAGTATAGCCTAGCATAGTATACTATAGTAGAGTTAGTATAGTACTTTTACCAAAACCCTGGGCCAACTAGTGCGGTACATAAAAATGCCTGGGCTTGGTGTCTTGAGATTTTTGTTTGGAGTTTCCACACGGCTTAGAGTGTTTCCAGTTGCGCTTTATGACTGTATGCGCTTGGCGGCTTGGCGAAATCAGCGAAAGCCCACAAGTTCAGGTTTCAGGTTTAGGGTTTAGGGCTTTGGGTTTAAGTTTAAGGTTCAGGTTTCTTTAGGGTTTAAGGTTCAGGTTTCGGGTTTAGGGTTTAGGGTTTGAAGGTTCAGGGTTCGGGTTTAGGGTTTAAGGTTCAGGGTTCAGGTTTAGGGTTTAAGGTTCAGGGTTAGGTTTTAGGGTTTGAAGTTTCGGGCTTAGGGTTTAAGTTTCAGGTTCAGGGTTCAGGTTTAAGTTGAGGGTTTAGGGCTTCGGGTTTAGGGTTTAAGGTTCAGGTTTAAGGTTTAGGGTTTGAAGGGTTTAGGGTTTAAGGTTCAGGTTTCAGGTTTAGGGTTTAGGGTTTAGGGTTTGAAGGTTCAGGGTTCAGGTTTAGGTTTTTAGTTTAAGGTTCAGGGTTCAGGTGGGCGGTTTAGGGCTTAGTAACTTTGGGTTTAAGTTTAAGGTTCAGGGTTCAGGTTTAGGGTTTAAGGTTTAGGGTTTAAGTTCAAGGTTCAGGGTTCAGGTTTAGGGTTTGAAGGGTTCAGGGTTTAAGGTTCAGGGTTCAGGTTTATAGGGCTTAAGGTTCAGGGTTGAGGTTTAGGGTTTAGGGTTCAGGGCTTGGGGTTATTAGGGTATATAGTGTAGCAAGGTATAGTGTAGTATAGTGGTATAGCCTAGCATAGTATACTATAGTAGAGTTAGTATAGTACAGTTACCAAAGGCCTAGGCCAACTATTGCGGTACATAAGATGCAGGGGTTTGGTGTGTCTTGGGGAATTTATTTGGGGTTTCCACACCGGTTTGGGTGTTTCCAGTTGCGCTTTACGGGTCTATGTGCCTGGCGGCTTGGCGAAATCAGCGAAAGCCCCTAAACCTTATAGCCTAAACCCTAAACCTAAACCCTAAACCCTAAACCCTAAACCCTAAACCCTAAACCCCCACAAAATACTCTACTCTCAGACTCACTCCTTAGCTTTCTTCCCCCACGTCTCAGCATTGCTGCCTCACATTTCCCTAAGGGTCCAAGTACCTATTATTTAAGGACTTTGGGTCCCTAAAACCATGAATAAGGACTACTTGGACCCTTAGGGTTTCAAGCCGGTTCAGGGTTTAGTGCTTTTCAGCTCGTAGAGTTCTTTCGAAGTTCTGCAGGCAATCATTATTGGGGTTTTTAGGGGCGTAGGATATGTAGGGTATAGGGGAGATTTCAGCGCAAAAAATGGGCTGTCGCAAAGCATGGTCCTCTTTCAATGTCCCGTGCAGCACATGGAATAGCATTTGGTACAAACAGCGGAGCCCGATTTTGCAACACCCCTAATCTGACAGGTCACGCTGAAGCCTTTAAACCTCAAGGTTGTTCCGCCCACCGCCGGCCGTCCTCCTTTTTCCACATAGGAGTTTGTCAAGGAGAGATGCACCGTGAAGACCATAGCAAACCCTAAACCCTAAACCCTAAACCCTAAACCCTAAACCCATAGCTAGGTAAGAAGGAGGGCCCCGATCCCAAGGAACCCCATGCGGTACCCTAAACCCTAAACCCTAATGCCGTGTCGCGTGGCGTTTGAAACCTACAGATTCACCCCGAAACCCCAAACCCTGAACCCTAAATACCCGAAACCCTGCAACAAAACATGCATACTATAGGGGCCTTAATAATTTCCTATTCTGTTTTGGGGGTTCCGCATTATAATTCTAGTACAGTGGATCCCAAAACCTTGTTTTAATTATTCAGGCCCTACATCATGTTCGTTCGGTGACTGACAGGCACCTGTGCCCGTCAATTCTGTCGCAGCCGCCGCCTCTGACATCAGCTGTCCTTGTATGCGGGTGTGTGTGTGTGTGTGTGCCTAAACCCTAAACCCTAAACCCCTAAACCCTAAACCCTAAACCCCTAAACCCTAAACCCTAAACCCTAAACCCCTAAACCCTAAACCGTTCTTCTGGGGATACTCGTAACATAAAGGCAACTTCACATCCCCTAGCGGCCAAAGCACCAAGGTGAATGGCCCAGATTGCGCCCCCAGGCGGGAGCATGCTTCGAGATTCGCGACGTTATTTTGATGGAATATCTTTATGTATATATATATATATATATCATAGTATATATATATATATAACATATACTACATATATATATATATATGTCTCTCTCTGGTCCAGGTACCTATGTGGTATCATATAGAAGCCTAAATAACTACCAACACTAGTGTTTGGGTTCCTTCGTTATTTTTCATAATAGACGATAAAAAGAGCCCAAAATCCTGTTCTAAATTAAGGCCCCTACAGTACGCTTATTATGCATAATAGACTATAAAAGGAGCCCCAAGCCCTGTTCTACATTAAGGCCCCGGCCCTACCGTACATAGTTTAGGGGTTTAGGGTTTTGGGTTTAGGGCTTAGGGTTTCTGGTTTAGGGTTTAGGGCTTTAATAATGAGAATAGGGTTTTGGGGTATATTATGCTATTAAAATCACAATAAAGGACCCTGAAAATAGTATAGGTCTAAGCCCCCAGCACTAAAACCCTAAGCCCTAAAACCCTAAACCCTAACTCTAAACCCTAAATCCTAAACCCTAATAACACACATCCCTCAGGTAAGGGTTCTGTTAGAGGGCTCGGGTTCGTGAGGATTTCAAGCATGATGGTCCTTGTACCTGACCACTACATATTTTGACTGTAAAGTTCCTATATATAGGAGCCCCTTTCAGAATATGCTTAGCGGCTATATGGACCCTGAGCATAGATCGGATGCATGATACCGAGCACCTTCCCGGAACTAGAACTCGTGATGAAGTCTAGCGGCCATTCGTCAAGTTATGTACCTTGACGAACAGAGAAGGGCAGTTGTCGGTGTGCTGGAAGTGGTTGGGCAAGGCTTCCACACGTCCCGCAGTGATGGACACAGAAATCAGAATACTCGAGACTCGAAACTGCATACACTCACCACCTTAAGCTAAACCCCAAACCCTATATAAGCCCTAAACCCTAAACCCTAATGGTTCAGTACTACGCAAGACTCTAGACTAGGAGGATGTCAAAATTACCTGCTCTGGCGCGTCAAGTCTCTGATGAGTGTGGCGATGCCTGCACCTACAGCCATGGCGCAAGATAACTCCAAAAATGTGTCAAGGCTTTGTGGTGCTGAACACACCCTCAAACCTGAGCCCTAAACCCAAGCTATAGAGACTCCCAGACCTTTTCCCCCTAAATCCGGGCCTAGTGAACCCCGAACCATAAAACATAAAAACTCCCAACCCGAGAACACACAAGCTGACAAACTCTAAACCCGAAGCCCTAAAGCCTAAACCCGGAAACGGTTTAGGGTTTAGGGTTTAGGAAACCCAAACCCCAAAGCCCTAAACCCTGAACCCAAAGCCCTAAAGAAACCCTGGTAGCCTTCAACTCAAAGCGATGGCCTCTTCTGCCGGCCGCTACTGGGCCCTTCGGCTGTGCCCGGGGGACGATTTGAAAGACCGAACTTGGAAGACTGCATGTCTTAGGGTTTAGGGTTTGGGTTTAGGGTTTAGGGGTTTAGGGTTTAGGGTTTAGGGTTTTGAAACTTAGGGTTTAGGGTTCAGGGGGGGCTATCATTTTAGGAGTTTTGGGTTTAAGGTGGTTCGGGCTTCTATGGGGCGATAGGTTTTGTGTCCTGAAGGGCTTGCAAGGACATTGACTTGCCAGTCGGGTTTGGATATGTGATACATTATCTTGTTACAGTTTTTTGAACAACCCTATAAACCCTGAACCCTAAACCCTGTCCCGAAGGAGTCGCTGCTTGCCTACGTTGCGAAGCATGGGCTCCGAGCCGCGGCGGTGGTGAGCTGCGTGGGCTCCCTTAGCAAGGCTCGGCCTTTTGATTCTTAGGCAGAAGGGTTTGGGGTTTAGGGCTTAGGCTTTGGGGTTTAGAGTTTGGGGTTTAGTTAAGTTTTGGGTTTCAGGGTTTGGGGTTTGGGGCTTAGGCTTTGGGGTTTAGTAGGGTTAGGGCTTAGGGAGTTTAGGTTTGGGGTTTAGGGTTGGGGGTCTACGGTTTGGCGGGCCGATTGCTGTCTGTTTACGGGTTTGGGTTTATTCGGCCTTCGTATGTTGGTGTTGTTGGCTTTCAGTGTTTTCGTTTTAGGGTTTAGGGTCTAGGTCTTTGTTAGTATCCGGTTCCGGGTTTTACGTACCATGTTTGTAAAGTCCGGCATTTTTTGCTAGTAAAGGGCTTATAGGGCTTCGGGTGACATGTTCTACGGCTAGTTTGAGATTCTTCAAGGTACGGCTTAGGGTTTGGGTTTAAAACTGAGCCCCACAATTGATTTGGATATTTTTTATGGACTTCGGTTTGCTTTGGTTTAGTTTGCAATTTCAACCCCTCGTCGCCAACACCCCTAAACCCGGTAAGGCCAACACCAACTCAACCCTTAACCCTAAACCTCAACAAACCCCTGAACGCCTGAAGCGCTTAGCCCGAAACAAGACCACACCACCCTCTCAAAAGCGCAGAAAAACAATTGAATCTAAACCCTGAAAAAAACAAATCCTAAACCCTTAACACCCTTAACCCTAGACCCCTCACAGTAGTTGAACTAATGGCCCAAAATCGATAAAAAGGCCATTGTTCTACATACTTTTGGGTTCCATTTAACCCTAAACACCCATTAAAGTTCCTAAATTCCTAAACCCAAAACCCCTTTCAAGTAAACCCTAAACCCGAAACCCTAAACCCTAAAACCCCAAACTAAACGAAGAAAGCCGAAGAAGCGCCGCCAGGCCAGCTTGCGGCTCGCCAACGCAGATCGCGCAAACCCGAATCCGGCCGGGATGCTCACTGGAGTGCTTTAGGGTTGAGGGGGTTTAGGGTTTAGGGTTTAGGGTTTAGGGCTTTGTGTTGTTTTTTGGGGTTATCAAGGGTTTAGGGTTTAGGATTTATGTCTATATTGTTTACTCGAGTTGTTAAGGCTTTGCGGCTGGAATGGTAGGGTTTTAGTATTTTGGGTTGTTGGTCTTCGTTTGGGGTTTCGGGCACCAGGATACTAGGTAATTTTGGGTTCGGGATGTTTGCGTGCCTGGTGTTTTATGATTTTAGGGTGCAGGATTTGGCCCAAGTTTGGGGGCTTAGGGATCTAGGGTTTATGGGTTCGGGTTTGGGGGTTTAGCGGTTAAGGGTTTGGAAATCGTCGCGCCATCTTTCGTCCTGTGTTCTGGAACGCTACGGCTATGATATTAGGCGGCGTTACATTCCATTCGTATTTTAGTTTACAATATACTATACTATATTGGGTTGCACAGGGTCCATGTGGCTTGAAGCTTTGTCGATCTCCTGGGCCGCGTCTACAGGCTCCCTGTGAGCCTAAGAGGTTAGTGTTGCAAACCCTAAACCCAAACCCCTAAATCTTAAACCCCTAAACCCTAAACCCCCTAAACCCTAAACCCCCTAAACCCTAAACCATATACCCCTAAGGCTTCGGAGGCCATCCTCCATGCAGAGCTGACCGCGTTGATCATGCGACGCAAAGAGCTGAAGCAGCAGCAGAAGGAAGCAGCGCAGCTTCAGAAAAACTTAAAGAGGAAGAAGGATCGCTTGTTGAAGGCCAATTTCTGCTTGTGTCGGTCATTTGCGAGTGTCAGAACTCCATCCTCAGCAACCTTAAATACAGCGCTGGAGCTCCACGTCCTTGCAGAAAACCCTAGAAAAGGGGCGACCTATCATTTTGGGCTTGCTTGCTCATCTTGGGTGTCAATCTGCAGAGGATCTTCGCTGCGGTCTTTCCTAAGCCCGGACGGTGATATCACGATGGAATTTGTTGATGCCGGCAACACCATGGTTTCAAGGCAGGCCTATGCATCATATGATTTTATAAGATTCACGACTTCCTTCCGCAGGTTCTGCCTTTTGGCATGGCTCCTCATGGCCAGAGGGGCCCACTGGTCTCTCGAGCAACCAGTGACGTCGCTCATGTATCGGCACCGCCGCTTTCAAGAGCTTTGCAAGGCGGTGGTCGTGCCCTAAACCATAGAGATTAGAAGTGCCATCCTTTCATCCCAAAAGCCACAGCAAACCCATACATAAAGACCCCATGCCACCCTTTAAATCCCATAGGAAAGCCCTTAAAGAGAAAAGCCCTCTGAGAGCCACCCGAACCCGAAGACAAAGGCCGACCCCAGAAGTTGCTATAGCCTCGAAAGAGCTCTTTAGTTAGGGTTTAGGATCTTAGGGTTCAGGATTTTAGGGTTCAGGATCTTGGGGTTCAGGATGTTAGGGTTCAGGATTTTAGGGTTTAGGATTTTAGGGTTCAGGAATTGTAGGGGTCAGGATTTGAGGGTTTTAGGGTTTGAGCGTGGAGGATGTTTTTTTTTGGGGGGTTAAGGTGAAGCCTTCTAGCAGGAAGACAAGCACTGAAAACTCCGAAAAGGAGCGCAATGTAAACCTAAATGCCAATCCTTCAGCCCTAAATGGCTATAAGCCCCAAGGACAACATCTGTACCCTAAACCCTAAACCCTGTAGGTTTATAGGTTCCCCGGCCCAGGGTTCAGAGGGTTGTGGTTGCAGAGCACCCTAAACCCTAAACCCTAAACCCTAAACCCTAAACCCTAAACCCTAAACCCTAAACCGAAACCCCTAAACCCCCAAAAGAGGTGAGGAGCTTTGAGAAGCGCCTCGAGATCACCTCCCTGGTTGGCACACTGGGTCACTCGGCGCCCTTGGTCCTTTTTTTTTTTAGGGGGTTTAGGGTTTAGGGTTTTTGGGGTTTAGGGTTTAGGGTTTAGGGTTTAGGGGTGGTGTTATACGTGTTCTGTTCATAGGGGTTTTCTGGAATTGTCATGTTTTGTTTTTAAGGCTTTCTCTTCGGTGTAATTGGTGATTTTCTTTGGTGATGCAGGGATTTATAGTGACTGCCTTGGGTCTTTTTCAGTTTTTTGTTTCTCTTTCTGGACCCAAAATCGAATTTTGGCTAACCTTCTAGATGCGATTGAGGCGGATATAGAGCTGACAGCTCAGGGTTGTTAGTTTGGGCTTAAATTTTCCTGACAGCTTTCCAGTCTAGACAGTCTAGATGTTATTGTTTACGTTTGGAGTTTGGAGTTTTAGGGTTCAGGGTTTAGGGAGTCAGTGTTGTATTGCAGTAGAGTTTGGGACATGACTGGGCTTAAAAGCTTTTCATATTGAGTTTTATAGGTCCCTCAACACTCTCCGGAACCTTTATAGTGCCAGGATCCCTTTGAAGGAACGTCACAAACCTCCGCGACTTAGGTTGCGAAGGACCTAAAGGACATCTGCACCTCTCGGTGGCAGACGAGGTGGGATGTGGGAGCTTCAGAGATCTAGGGTATCATATTATAACATATTTTATGAGACTATTTCATATGATACCAGGCTATGGTATAATCCATATTCTATTTGATGACATATGGGTGGTTGTCAAAATTATGGTCCCTTTTTGGGTCCTTATTATAATACGGCACCTATTATTTAGGGTACCCCAAAAGGGACCATAATTTTGACAACTACCCATATCAGAGTAGACAGGTACCTGATCAAGGCGTCCTTCGAATCAGGATCCTACTACAAGTGACTCAGGGTTTTAGGGTTTAGGGTTTAGGGTTTAGGGTTCCTAGACCCTAAACCCTAAACCCTATAAACCCTAAACCCTAAAGGGGCTTTCGAGGCTTCTCGCGGGGTTTCAAGGCATGGCTTCACGGTTTACGGCTTCGGGTGTAGAGTTTGGGGGTTAGGTTTTCGGGTTCAAAGTTTGGGGCGGATACCTCTTCTGAAGGCTTTGTTAGGCTTTGTTGTTTTGAAGGCCCTCAGGCCAAAGCTGGGCACTCCACGGAGCTGCGCAGCCTCCAAGTTCCCTCTGAAGGATACAGGCCCTGGCTCTTTGGCTGAAAACGGGAACCCTTCTAAGAATTTTCGGGCTTTCGCGGTGTAGGGCTTCAGGGTTTAAGGTTGTAAACCCTAAACCCTCTCTTTCATATATATATATATATGAGCCCGATACCTTTAGGGTCTATTTAGCTAGCTTTTTGTATATACAATATGAAATGCTTAGCTAAATAGTATACATACAAGTTATTCATTGCACAAACATAATTCCGAAAAGTTTGAAACATGCCCTGAGATATAGTTTAATATTGAATTTCCATACATTTCGGAAGATTGGCTTGTCAACCGCCATCCGTACTCGATGCATCCCACATCTTACATGACAATCCGATGACTGCCATCATGTTATACATCGAATTTCCATACAGTTCGGAAGATTGGCTTGGTGACCGGCATCCATGCTTGATGCACCCGACATCTTAGTTCTGCCACCTGCTACTTCCTTTCATTTCCAGAAAAGAGGACAATGAACCGGAACTAATATGGAAACAAACAGTGCCTGAAGGGTGTTGTGCCATCTTACACGCCAGGCCATATCATGAATGGGTGTCATAAATTTACAGGTATTGTTCCCAGTCAACGCAGGTATGTGTGTTCACTTCTCCTTGTCTTTCGGTTCTAGCCCACGAGCAAAGGAGAGGTGT